AAAAAAAAAAAAAAAAAAAAAAAAAAAAAAAAAAAAGATACCTGTTTTGGAGTATCCACTTATGGCCTAAGTCTCCAGGACTTCTTTAAAACATCGACTTAGATCCTGAGCTGATTGCTCAGTCTCTGTTTCTTGAGAACTCTTATCACTCATACTTAAACATATAATCAAAGTTATTCTTTCCTGGTTCATTTCTTCACTCCCAGGTTATAAGAAACCCAAGAAACAGTTTAATTTTGTATTGTAAGCCAAGAATCTTTACAAATGGTTGAAAATGGTGTATAAAGTGGTATTTGGAGGAATTTAAAATCAGAAGACCTGGGGTTATTAGCTCACTACGTACTAGCTCTGTAACCTTGGATGAGTTGCTTAGCTTCTCTGAGCCTGTTTTCTCATTCTTACCTTTGTAAAAGTCACTTATCGACTTAGACATACTTGGAACACATATGTTCTCTAAATGCCAAGTACACAGAGATAAAATACAGAGCCTCAGCTCTCAAAACGCTTATGTCTAGTTGGAAGACAGACAAGTAAATAGTTATAGTACAGTGTTTTGAATGTCGTGCTAGCGAGGCAAGCCCATGGTGTTCTCGTATTGTGTAGAATGGTAGTAGCAAAAGGTACTGGGGAGGAAAGACTTCTGGGTAGATGAACTTGATTTTCAAGAACGAATAGGACTTAGCCAGCATAAGCAAAGAAGAGTGTTGAGAGTGTATGTACCACCAGAGGTAAGAATTTTAAGAAGTAAGCAATTTATGATATCAGTTGTGACAGATACTGAGTGGAAAAAAGGTTGAAAATTTCACTAGATTTATGAGTGGGTTTTTGGATAGAATTATGCTTAGAGAACAACTTGATGAAGAGAAGATATATCTAGACACTGTAACAGAAACCATTACACTGGGCCAGCCTGCGGCTCACTTGGGAGAGTGTGGTGCTGATAACACCAAGGCCATGGGTTCGGATCCCTATATAGGGATGGCCGGTTAACTCACTTGGGAGAGCGTGGTGCTGACAACACCAAGTCAAGGGTTAAGATCCCCTTACTGGTCATCTTAAAAATCAATAAATAAAAGAAACCATTACACTGTCTAAATAGAAATAAATTTTATTTGTGGCAGAGCAAGAAGCTGCAGGAATCCCAGGCCGTGGTGCTGACAACACCAAGTCAAGGGTTAAGATCCCCTTACTGGTCATCTTAAAAATAAATAAATAAAAGAAACCATTACACTGTCTAAATAGAAATAAATTCTATTTGTGGCAGAGCAAGAAGCTGCAGGAATCCCAGGTCAGTTGCTGAAAGATATGTTGAGAAATGATGAACTCAAGGGAGTTAACACTTCACCAGATGATACATAGTATAGATCAGGCTAGCATTGTGTGGACTGTAAATCATTATATGTGTTGGTAGTTACTGTTATTTGCCAAGATGAAATCTGGTAAATTTGCCAAAATGAAAGTCACGTCATATTGTTGCACTTACCTTAAAGGTAGTGATTCTACTGTTGACTGCATTCTTCTCATGGGTGCTTCCAAATACTTCAACAGCTAAAAATAGTAAGGGGTCTTAATATTACCTAATGTCCTGTCCATACTCAGACTTCCCTGATTGTCCCCAACGTGACTTCAGTGGCTTTTAATGTAATCAAAGATACTCACTGTATTTGGTTATTATGTCTCCCTGCTTTCTCTCCCCTCCCCCACCTTCCACCCTTCCCCTCAGCATTCTCTGACATATTGTTTTGAAAAGACCAGGCCAGTTGTCTTGTACAATATCCAGTGATCTGGATTCGTCAGATTATTTATTTATGCTTTTTATTTGTTTTGTATCCCCTGTACTTTCAGTAAAGTGGAAATTAGGCCTAAAGCTTTGATTACTTGTGTATTGAGATTAAGTATTATTGGCAAGAATACTTCTTAGGTAGCCCTGTGGTCTTCATATTGCATGACAACAGAAGCATATAAGGTCAGATTGTCTGACTATTACAGATAGTTAATTTGGTCACTTGATTAAAGTGGTAAGCCTCAGATATCTCCGTTATAAATGTACTCTTTCCCCTTCCAATTAGCATGCGATCCGAGAGGTGATACTTAGGATACATGTGAATACCCTGTTCCAGAAACAACCTTACCTGATGGTTTTAGCATCCATGGATGATCCTTGCCTGAATTAGTTATTTCATTACTGGTTAAAAAATGGTAATACTCTATCATTCCTTTGACATTTATTAGCCGACATTCTTCCCTAAGAGAGCAGGGAGCTGATAGAGATAATGGGGGAGGGAATTGGATGAAACTATCTATTGAGAGAGTTTTGCTCATTCTTTTTTTTTTTTTTTTTGGCGGCTGGCCACGATAGGGATCTGAACCCATGACCTTGGTGTTACCAGAACCATGCTCTCCCAAGTGAGCTAACCGGCCAGCCTTCACCTTTTATTTCCTGTAATTGTAAATACTACTTGAATTATGGTTGGCCTATTTTAAAAAGTACGTATTTTTCAGATGTTTTATTTTAGTTTTTAGTCTCAGCATATGTTGCCTATTTTGCAGGTTAAATTACCACTCTTTTGCCATTCTTTTCTATTTACATGGCAGTAATTAAATGAATTGTACAAGTCTGGGGTTTCCTTCCCTGCCCCACATGTTCATCCACTCTTTTCCCACTCTTTTCAGGTGTGAGCTGACTAATAAGACAATGGTGCTAGCTGGCCAGTGAGCTCAGTTGGTTAGAACATGGTGCTAATAACACCAAGGTCCAGGGTTCAATCTCTGTACTAGCCAGCCACCAAAAAAAAGGTGGGGTGGAATGGTTAAGTGAGTAGTGAGAGAGGACCCAACGATGCTAGAGTTTCAGCCTGTGAAAAAAAAAAAAAAAAAAAAAAGAGAGAGAGAGAGAGAGAGAGAATGAGGATGCTGAAAAAAGTGGGAATAGGTCCATGTACTCCTGTCCCTGAAAACTTATTGAAAAATAGCAAGAAAAAGGCATATAAAACTAGTTTTCTTCTTTTTAGGGGTTGTAGAATGAACTTGAGAATAAGTAAATGATGCTCTGGCTCCTTACTTAGATTATCTCCTAATGCTATTTGGGTCTGGTGGTAGTGAAAGATTATTTTTGTGTGGCAGGAGACTCATACAACAAATCTTCCCATCATCTTTTTGAGACCCCTCACATACTTCATCAGTGACATCCTGGCTGATGGTCCAACTTAATCATCTGAGTGCTTGATGCATTATTTTATGAATGTTTCTGGCAAATGATTGAGTAGGCATTCCAGAAATGATAAAATGCAATTTATGTGATGTTTTGCTTCTTACCACATTTTCCAAACTTAAATGTTGAGGTGAGAGTCCTTAAAGTACTGTTTATACTAATTGTTATTAATATACTTTTAATGATAATTTTATGCATAAACCCTTTACATGAATTGATATTCTAATTAGTATATTAAACCTCCTTGCATCAAAATTCAGAGATTAGGATTTTTCTCTCTAGGTGTTCCTATCAAATAATTCTGAAAAATATTTATGAATACCATTTTTTTTTCCTGAAATAAGTCAAGGCATAAGTAACAATGATAATGAAAGTTAATATAGGTATCTGTGAGATGATAACTAAGTTGGTGAACTAATTAACTTATGTCCTATAATATCTTTAATATGTAATGAATAAATAAAAGAAGTACAAAACCTTGATCAGAGTTACGAATTATCCCTGGAGGGAAAATGCAGCCTCTGGCGGGGGTGGGGGGGGATTTCATGTAAAATACAACTTCCTTGAGTTTAAATGAAGAGCTTTAAAATCAAATCTCATGCTGGTTTAGTTTGTAATGCATTAAACAGTGAAATAATGCAAATAGGCAGGTTTATAGTCACTAACCCACAACTTCATGTTTAGGAAGAAGTTCTTTGATTTGCATCATTCTTTTATTTATTTATTTATTTTTACATTTTACAGAGTGTTATATAGTGTATGCCTCTACATGTGTGTCGTACTATTTGTCACAAGCTTTTCAGTGTGCTGATATCAAGCTGCTGTCTCCCCCAGATGTTGCAGAATTGTAGTATGCCTAAAACCAGCTGTAGTTTTTATAGCTTCCAGGATAGTTTAGAGTCGGGAAGATTTCAACAAAAGAATGGATCTGCCTGTTTGCCTCTAGCAAGTAATTGGGAAGAAAAATGTTATTTATGAGACAAAATAGCATTATTGAATTTCAGCAGACATTACAATTTAGACAGAACTGTAGAAGCATTTCCCACATGCTTATAGACCTCCCCGTATGCCTGAATCATACCTGGGATAGACCAGCTATAGACAGCACAGGTGGTAGTTGCTGGTAGTAAGCTATGATTCTCTCCCCTATGTCTATTCGTTTCTCCTTCTCCACCTCCTTTTATTGTTGGGTTTTTTTTCCTTTTCTTTTTTTTCTGTCTTAGTCTTCCTATTAATATTTAAAGACATTGTTTAAATCTGAAGTCATGTGAAGTCATGATAGCTTAACTGTGATTTATACTACATACTCAAAGCTAATAACCTCCCCTCCCACACCAAACAACAAAACCAAACCAAAATGACTACATTAATAGTAGGAATGGCTTTCTAACAATTTAATAAGTCCTTGGTTCACTCTTTCAGGAGAAAATATTTGAAATAAACAATTATTCAAGTAATTTTGAAATGTTTCTTAGAATGATCAAATTTTTGAATGGTCACAATTTTTAATTGTAGGTGAAGTTAAAATGAACTATTTGGGCAAACCGTATGTAGCCATGGTTACAACATACCAAATGGCAGTTCTTCTTGCCTTTAACAACAGTGAAACTGTCAGCTATAAAGAGCTTCAAGACAGCACTCAGATGAATGAAAAGGAACTGACAAAAACAATCAAATCATTACTTGATGTGAAAATGATTAACCATGATACAGAAAAGGTATGTGGTAATATTCCAACGAATTTAAGCATTATCAACATTAAAGCTTTTTCATGGGATGTTTGGTTTTAAAAGCAAGGCTGTAATTGTCAGTGCCCTTTGTGCTTTGGAAAGCACTTGAATCAGCTGCATTTACTGCAAGCTTGTTACAGCTGTGAGCTTGAGGAGTCACAGAGAATGCTATGAAAGATGGTGCTTAATATGCCCTTTTTAGTTTGATTTTATTTGTCCTATACTGTGACAACTTACTGAAAAATTGTAAAAGAATTGTCATCTGGAAAATTCTGGAGGATTCTGGTTAATTGAGGTTTTTAAACTATAGCCTGTCATAAACCTTTCTGGGTTATTTGTCCCATGTGTTTAATTAACTTAACTTCATGGTTCTGTAATAGGAAATGGCAGCCTGTTGATGTCTATTTGTATGCATATTTAATGTGTGTTACTCCATCCCAGGTGCTCACAGGTGCCTTAACATCAGGACACAATTAACTACCATGTATTTTGATATCCATCACAAGAATACAAGCCAATAGTATATTCCTTCTTTTTTCTTTATAACTTATTTTCTACTAACCTTGTTGTAGTATAATTCTAGATTCTCAAATTGCTAAAAAAGCAACAGATCCACAAGAATACAAGCCAATAGTATATTCCTTCTTTTTTCTTTATAACTTATTTTCTACTAACAAGTTTCTGTTCTTGTTGTAGTATAATTCTAGATTCTCAAATTGCTAAAAAAGCAACAGGTGTGGGTTAAATCTGCTTCAAATTATTGTGCCTATATGAAAAAATTCTTATAAATGACGTTTCATCTTTATTTTGATGAAGTTAATAGCTTAAAACTTCTCTCATCAGTTCATTTTGCTGACATCCCTAAGATTATGATATTTTATAGTATTTAATTTTTAACAACTGTAAATGACATATATTCTGAAATTCAAATTGGTCTTTTGAGAAATTATTAATTTTTCTGGATATAGAATCTTATACTAAATTTTTAATGTTAAGATTTTAATCAAGGTTAATTAATTGATTTTAAATTTTTAAGTAATTCAGTGCTTTAAAAGTTTTATTTTTTTCTAAAACATGTTCTTTTTGCTGCCCAGAAATTTACAAAATAAATATAAGTATCTTGTTTGCACTTCAAATTTTAATTACAAATCTTCCAGCTCCGTAGCAGAATCTCTTAGGTTATTATTGAGAATTAGTCCATCTGCCAAGTGCCTCTTGATTCTGCTGCCAGAGAAATTCTATTGTATGATATGAGTGGCTTTTTTAAGCCTGATACAGAAGTTGTGCTTTTAAAAATCGACTTAACAACTTTATCCTGAGAAAAGTCCACTTGCTTCTGGAAGAGTGAATAAAACATGGATTGAAGGGTAAAGCCTGTCTCCATCACTCCAGGGCCACAGAGAATTGAAGCTCGTGTGACATTGGAAACACAGCTTACTTCTATAGTCAGGTTATTTAAAATAGGGATTTTATTATTGCAGCATTTTAAAAACCATTTGGTTGTTTACTTTTTCAAAATGGGATGGAAAAAGTTTGAGCCTTGATATTTCATAAAAATTAAAATGTTAATTCTGTTTGTTTAAGCCAATAAGCTTGACTTTATTTTATCAAGAGGTGTAATAATTGGACCAGAAATTAGCTTATTCTTAAATATAAACTAATTAAGATTCTGGCAAATACAAAATCAGAAAAGTCTTTTGCTTGTTTGACAGAATCAGAAAAATCATTTGCTTATTTGACAAAAGACAATTATTTTTCTCAAATTCAATAATCTTTGTAATGTAAAAATTACAAGAGTTTAGTCCTTTTTGCTTAGCCATTATTTAATTTCATGGCATATTAGTTTGAGTAAACTCTTTTAAAATTTTTTTATTTTAATTTATCAATATACAATACAGTCAATTTTCGTGTCCCTTTACCAATTAACTCTTATTTTTTTGGTAAATATAAATGTATTATTTTTAAATGTAGGAAGATATTGATGCAGAATCTTCGTTTTCATTAAATATGAACTTCAGCAGTAAAAGAACAAAATTTAAAATTACTACATCAATGCAGAAAGACACACCACAGGTAAGTGCTTTTTAATGTCATTTCTTTTGGAGATATTTAAGCATTGGACTTTACAAGTTCAATTTACATTAAGATCATGCAAAACTTTGCACATCAAAATTAATAACATGATACATCTTTTGTGGTTTATTCTTTGCATTTACTAACCTTGCAATCAAACAGAAATATCTGCTAGTATTTTAGATTTTTAAAAAGTAGTAACAAGTGACTAAGGAAAAAGGCATTGTAGTTTAGTCATGTTTGCTCTTAAACCATATTAACATGTGCAGCTTTGCTCTGCATTCTCTCCAAACCTTCTCATCTTGAGAAATAATATAATTGCTCATATTTTTCATTTGTAAAATAAGGAAAAGTTTCACAACTTGTTTCTTTCAAAGGAAAGTTGTCATGTAGAAAATGTTTCTCAAACTTTGATGTGCAAATGAACTACCTGGGGATCTTGTTAAAATACAAATTGTGATCTAGTAGGTCTGGAGTAGGGTCTAGTCTCCCTGATGAGCCAGTACGAGTAGTAAACATCTGCTCTTGATTCTTTTAATTCAGCAGCAATTATTGCTTTGGTGTGGGATAGCCTGTGTACACTTAGGTTTCCTGATTGCCTCTTGTGTGCAATGTTTGGGCTCCATGCAAGATATGAAGATATACAAGATGTCCAGCCTCTCTCCAGCAATTTACTTCCCCATGGTGGAGACAAATATGAACTAATTGCCATTAACTTTGAACCTAAAATGGTTAAGATCCCATTTTTCTCTGGGCTAATGAGTAATAATTTTTAATTTTTTTTTTTTTCCTTTTTGTCTTTTTTCGTGTCCGGCAACGGATCGCAACCCTCGGTGTTGCGCCTGCACCTCGCTCAGCCAGTGAGCGGGAATAATTTTTAATATTTTGATTGTATTTTATCTTTTAAAAACTATTATGAGATCCCTTGTTAATGTGGACTGCTTCTGTGCCTAACTTACACTGTGTTTCCTTGAGCTTCATGGGGATAGGCCCTCTCTGGCCCAGCCTTCCTNGGCAACGGGATCGCAACCCTCGGTGTTGCGCCTGCACCTCGCTCAGCCAGTGAGCGGGAATAATTTTTAATATTTTGATTGTATTTTATCTTTTAAAAACTATTATGAGATCCCTTGTTAATGTGGACTGCTTCTGTGCCTAACTTACACTGTGTTTCCTTGAGCTTCATGGGGATAGGCCCTCTCTGGCCCAACCTTCCTGCCTTCTCTGCTTGAGCCAAGTAGAACCCTTCACAACTCTTTTCCTTGAAGCCTGATCCAGAATGCAGTTGGAGCCAATTACTACAGTTGGCATAACTCCATCTAAAGGCATTATGATACAGTCTTGAAAATTATTGCCCTGTGATTTAAGTCCTATTGTATTGTCTCTTTACGTTAACAGTTATAATAGTATAAATTTTTTTCTAATAACTTTCCAACTTTAACTCCAGAAATTATATGGAACTCATCGTAAATGTTGTTTTGGCAATGCTTATGTGATATTGGGCACAGCATAACTGTATAGTGTGATGCTCACTATTGATTGGAAGGTTATTTAAACTCATTGATCACTTAATAACAAGCTCATTGACTTAATGTCTCATTTGCTATTTTTTTTTTTCCTCTGTAAAACAGGAAATGGAGCAGACTAGAAGTGCTGTAGATGAGGACCGGAAAATGTATCTCCAAGCTGCTATAGTTCGTATCATGAAAGCACGAAAAGTGCTTCGGCACAATGCCCTTATTCAGGAGGTAAGCGGGGGAATCCTCAAGACTTCTTAGGGTAGAGGGTATTATCAATGTACAGATCAGGTTTGTTTCTTCATAAAGATAATACAGAAATAATATGATCCCCAAATAACCTAAAGAAATGTTTCATTACTTAGCAAGATCAGTACGCACTTAAAATTTCAGTATTAAATTCAGATTCTTTCTGGCTTGAATTTAAAGGTCTAAGACTTGCTGATTTATTGGGTTTTCTGTCCAGTTATTGAAGGAAGTTGACCATATCAAATATTCATTCATTCCATGAATATGTGAGTGTCTACCACGTGATAGAGTGCTGGGCTGGTCACTGGAGACATGGTGCTGAGCAGCTCGAGATGCAGCAGGTCCTCTTGTACTTCAGAGTTTAATGGGGGAGAAATACATTATTGAAGTAACATGCATATAAATATTAAGTTACATTAGAATGCACTGAAAGAAAGATACACAGTACTGTGAGAATGTGTACAAAAGTCCTGACTCGGGGCACTGGAGAAAGCTTTCTTGAGAAAGTGCTATTTAAGCTAAGAGCTAGAAGTTGAATCACAGTTAAATGGAAGCTTGAGGGTGTGTTTGAGTATTTAGGTAGCTTAATTAATTGATACTTCCATTTAATTAAGTATAAAGATTATTAGATTTTGCTGTTATCTATGTTCTGTATTTTAATTCCTTTACAATATAAATGTTAGGCTTTTTCCTTACTTTACATAAAAAACTCTTTTTGGCCATCATGTCCCTTGTGCACTACCTTGCTCTGTTTAAAAAATTTAATATTGTCCATGGCACTCACTCACTTGTATCATGTCCATCCATTTCAGATTATTTTATTCAGTTGAATATAATTTCATACTGAAAGTATCTTTTTCCTATTGAATTGGGTCTGTTGAAACCCTAATAAATTCAGGCACTTTACAGCTGATTGGTTAAAAGTAATTATATATAGCTGATTAACTAGCAGTCGCTTGACTTCCGTGTCTGTCTCACACAGGTGATTAGCCAGTCAAGAGCTCGGTTTAATCCCAGTATCAGCATGATTAAGAAATGTATTGAAGTTCTGATAGACAAACAGTACATTGAACGCAGTCAAGCGTCCGCAGATGAGTACAGTTACGTCGCGTGATGTCTCTCTCCAGTGTGAGTGTGAGAAGATCATTGCCATCACCATTCGGTGTGTTCCTGTGGGAAAAAGCAGGCCTGTGCCTCCATAATTTGGTCATTTGGCAGCCCCTGTTTTTCTGCTGTTTACAACATCACCAGTGCCACGTCATGAGCGTCAAAGAAAATGCCTAGAGATATTTCAAGCTCATGTCATTATGACATTTCTTAAAACTTTATTAAAAGAATGAGTGAAGTATTGCTGAAATGTGGAAATTTGGTTGGGTACCATGCTTTTTCTCCCCTTCACGTTTGCAGTTGATGTGTTTGTTTTTTTTTTAATGTATCTTAAAGGACATAAAATAAAAACTTAAATATTGTAATATGACAGATAACCTAATAATTGTATCTACATTAAATGACAAACATGATATTGCTGCTTGTCAAATAAGAAAAAAATAAAGAAATAGAATGCCTTTTTTTATGTGGATGGAGTATCAGGTTGGCCACAAAATATATATATATAAATGATCATGAGTCATCAAAGCAGCTAATGCAGCTTTAGTTGCGTTTTTATCCGAACGTTTTGATTCACTTGTACTCCTACTGAAATCCTACATGACAGATGTCTAGTTTGTTGTTCTTGAATACATAAAAATGCATTCAACATAAAGAGTGCTTTATTTTTATGAATTAGGACTGCATTGGATATAAGTGTTTTGAATATTGAGGATATAATTCTAGCAGCAGTTTCTGGTGATGTACATACGCCACAGAAACAAAGTACGAGGAGAGTATGCGGTGACCTCAAGTCGGGCATAGAAAGAGTTTTTCATTGAAAGATTGTCTTCTGTTTTCATAATACATTAATTCTAGTGTAGACAATTCCCCAGCTCTATTGCCTTTCCTGAGTTGTAGGAAATCCTGTGATACCATCGTATTTCTTCCATACTCCCTTCCTAACTCTTATCCTGACCGCCCGTCCTTTAATGGTTTAGATGCTA